TTACAGCGGTTCAGAAACCGTGGTCAGAATCTGGTTGTGTACGTATAGAGCTTCAATTTCGCCTGAATAGTCAAAAAACGGTCCTGATCAGAATTCGCTGCAAAACACATATGTCGCTTTTATTTAACAAACGTTTTGAACCTTAGTCACATGTGACATACAATGGTCTTCCTCTGTGACGTAAGGAAAATTGGAATACGTATTTACGAGTAAGCAATATTGCTAATAGCCATACGGCTCCGCTTAATACTAGTTTCGAGAACAGGATACACCAAATCCATGAGTCTCTAGACCGCAAACTTAATATTTACTACAGTCTCCTGTAGATTCTGTCGTTGAAGTCCATTGATAAGGCGTAGGTCAACTGCTATTAGATTGACCGGACTGGAGTGCCTATTCAGCTAATTTGGACATCATAACAGTAGGTACTGGCGGCATCGTCCGTTAAGGGCACTGCAATGGCTGGTTTTTGGCAAGGCACACAGACGATTTAGCCTGATTAAAAAACTTCTTTAATCCAACAATCGGTATTTATTTCCGTTCACTTCTTGCCGTGTCAAGTTTTTGTTTCCAAACTCGCGGCAACTGGCAGCACTTATGGAGTGCATGACATTTATGGAATATGCCAACAGTTGGAGCAAAAGCTTTTCTTGCACAACGAGATGATTCGGTGGATCAGTTTTTCCCTGTCAGTCAATCCTGATTCTCGGTTTTGACACACAAATCATAACCGGAAATATCTATTTTTATGCTGGGTGTCAAATTTCAACGCAAATCAACTCAAGCAACAAAGATTCTTTTCACAATGGGACTAAATTTTATTTTTATCTTCCCCTATATCAGACCGTAGTAAGTCAGCGGTCAAAAGTATGGTAGTTTAAATACTAAAGCAGGGGTTTTGAATCATTTTTCAGGACGCAGTGCTTCGAAGCAGATGCAGCAGTTAAAGTAAATAACATCGGTGGCAGAACTTTCTGCCCATTTGAAATTGCATTTGCCATCAAGTAGGGTTGGAAATCCTGCATAAAGTTTTTTGAGCAAAGCGACAGTTTTTGCCCTTCAAATTACTACAGGGAAACATTGTGAGTGGGCCTCCTGATAATGATATTCATAGGCAAACAACTGCATAATTGGAACAAGACTCATACAAGTAGTAATTCGTTTTTGATAAAAAAAGACTATCTGCACTGATGAGGTTGGTTGCCGTAACTCACTCATTCCTTCGTGAATTAATCAAGAAATGCCTTGAAATGGACAGGATTCTTCCTAACTTGGCGCCTAGAGAGTAGAGGTTTCTAAATATTGCTGAAAATTTAGCAATTTAACAAGCAGATTTGGTGCAGATTGACATTTTTCTTGCATCTCTATATTATTGGGCGCCATATCTTGGTGACTGTCTCAACCGTGTCTACTTAGGTAAGCTCCAATTGCACATAGACATCCCAGCAAAGTAACTACCTTTGCAAAAGATTGAACAATTGGTTCTCCAGAGTTTCGTGGGTGATAAAGCATTTGGATTTTGCTGCTGAGGCACGAACTCTGTAAATTGTGAAGTTAGAAAAATGGGGGCTATTCCCTGGTGGTACCAGGGTTAAACTTATTTGGTTCAGACAAAATCCTGGCGATGATATAGTGGAAAAAGAGGTACGGGCATCTGCGTTGAGGTGATATTGCACGATTTAGCATTTTGATGAAAAATACCTCTGTAACAAGTGAGGATTCTGCTGTACACAGTGAGCTCATCTACCAGCTCTGAGTCAATCTGGGGAGTGCCCAAACGGCTTGTACGAAGATGCCCCTATAGAGACCGCAATAGTTATATGCAATTCAGACTAAGGTTATCAACGGAAATGCATGATTTGAGAAAGGTATCCCCCATTAGTTGATGATCACAGTTGATAACAGCAATTTACTTAAACTTACAAGGTGTTTTAAATAAACTGCAACGAGTTAAGGTCTACATTCCATAGTACTAAATTAAGCCAGTTTAAGATCCAACATGCTCGATAGTCGTACTTATTGCAACAAGGAATCTCGTAACCGGTAACCAGGTTGCCCATATAAGATATGAAAGGAAACGTGTTTTTTTTAGCAATACAGCATTTGCAGACCGGTAGACACCCATATCACTTGAGTCTGGTAGGGGTTAACATATCCGTAAACCCACCCGCGTCAACGGATTGGTAATGAGCTCGCGACTAGATTTTGGACAAAGTATTCAGCTGCTACATATTATCACATTACAGTTTTGTGCGCATGGTAGCTGGTAAATAAACAGACTTTAGTAATCAATTGGAAAATGTTTGGGACCGATTGGGAAGTCTTCGTTTCAGAGGGGTTTGGTAAACAATCGGTGGGTTTATTGCTGGGCAACGTTTCGCTTTTACTGGCAGACACAACGGTGCAAGAACGAACGCAACTCTCCGTAGACGAGATAGTTGAAGGCATAAAGGTATGCCTAAACCTCAGTCAATTTGTTTTTGACTCAATTATATACTCTCAAGAACAAGGTTTAGCGATGAGATCACCAATATCCCCGATTTTGGCCAACATGTACATGGAAGACTTCGAACAGAAAGCTTTAAACGGATTCGAGTGTCCACCAAGGGTGTTCTGGCGTTACGTAGATGACACGTTCGTTGTAATAAGGCGGGATAAGGTGAACGAATTCTTTCAACATCTGAACACATTGGACC